TRGTTTATCTTTTCGTACTCAAATTGCGATCATTTGAAGTTTGTGCAGCCCGGTTTTTTGCATTTCTCAGTAACTGATCCAACTTTTTATCAGATTGTGTAAAGAAAAGATGGCAGAATTAGCTTTCTATTTCACCAAGAGTTACTCTATGAATTATTCGCTAAACGAAACTCAAACATCCAATGGCTTCTTGAACCGCGATGTCAGTGAAATCCTACGGAATCGCTTTTTTGTCGTTTGCCTTCTGTCTGCTTTCTATCTTTGTGGTCTTTCAGTTCTAACGACTCTTTCGAACGGTGCATTGTTGGTAGTCCTTTATAAAGACCCTTACAAGACATTTCGTCATCCCCCAAGCGTTTTCATCTTTGGATTAGCACTGGCGGATTTTTTCACCGGAGTCGCGGTAGATCCGCTATTCACATATTTTTACTTTGAACTTTACAAAGATACATTCAACAGCGAAGATTACAACCGTATTTTAAAACTGGCTGGCGTTCTGTCTGGTGTAACCATGAACGTGTCTTGTCTAACAATTTTGTCTCTCTCTTGGATGCAGTTTATCGCGATTACGTTCCCACACCGCCACAAACAGCTTGTTACGACGAAAAGGGTCGTAAGTTGCGTTTGCAGTATATGGATTTACTCGCTGACATTTTCCTGCTCGTTTTTAATGGGCATTCCAGAGAAAATCTTCCAGAAGATGGACGTATTTCTGAATCTATCCCTCATCAATTTTTTCGTCCTCCTCTCATATATTGCGCTACATATTTCGTAACGTCGTCAGGTTGCTCGGTTATCTCTGTGGCAGATCGATGACACTACGGAATATCGACGGAAACGAGACCAAAAGCATTTTGTTGTAGTTAGTTTGCTTCTTGCTACATGTCTATTGGTTTTTATCCTTCCCGTGACTGTTATGTGGTATTTGACACTTTATTGGAGACCAGAAACTTACGAAGCTCAAATCAAGGCCACAATGGCGAATATTATCATAGACACAACACTGTTTCTGAAGTTCCTGATTGACCCGTTTATTTACGCTTGGCGACTTCCTAAATTTAGGCAGGCAGTGAAAGCCTTTTTCTTGAAAAAACCACGAAGTTCCTCCACCGGAGCGATAAATTTAACTTTGTACAATTTGAACTTTCAACCCTCTTCAAGCAGACTCAACTAAGACATTTACAGGCAAAAAAGGTTGCCTTTTTTCAAAACAAGAATTACGAGCGATAAGATATTTTGATTCAATGACAATTCAAAACCGAATTGTCTTCGACTAAATAATAACAGCCATTACAATTTAATATTAGCCATTATACTTTAAGATGACTTTTCAAAACCTGTATAATACTGGCAGTTAAACCATGTTGTCTTTTCAGATCAAGCAGTCATTGGCGACAATTCTACGACATGACTTTGGCAAATCTAAACAGAGGTTTTTCTTTCGAATAAAAAAGATGTTTCACCTATTATTACTTATTTGTATGACATTAAACATCGCTATTGCAACTATTGATCTCTTTCGTTTTCTGTCTAGAGTCAGGTAAAAAATATGAGCACGTACATTGACTGAACTTATCAAATTACAACGCAAAAGTTTGCAGCTGAAAGCTCGATTCATCGAGAAAAGTTTACCTTTATCAAAAGCTATTAAACAGCATTTGTCACATTTTAAAAAGGCTTGCAGCTATAATTGCGAAAGAGGCAAAATTATTCATTTTTATTTTGTCTGCCTCAATCCTGATTCTAAATTTTCAAAGCTTTCTTCAGATTTCTAGTTGGAGCAGCTTTCAAAATTGAGAGTAACTTTTGTCTTACCTTATCGTATGTATTTTCCAAAATTTCAAAGTATGACAAATCGCCTTCAACATAGCTAATGTGTTGTCATTTGCTTTAATTGCAATTGTGAAAATTCATTAAAAGCTTGTTTTTGTGGGTGCTTTTTGTTCGCTGAAATGTAACCTGCGAGAGGCTCTAGGAGTGAAAAAGCCCGGAAATGCCTTGAAAGGGTTTCCTTTTAACCTGAGCGAGTTTAAGTTTGAAAGATATCATTGAAAGGTTGTGAAATGTAGACATATGAAAGAGAAAATTAAGTTTTTGTTTCAGCCAGGGAACATGATCGTCAAATTTTATTGTCATCAACAATGTAAATTTACATTCAGATCCGGTTTTTAAATGAAAACATCAACACCAACTGCTCCAGATCCTGAGAAAGGAAAGGGTATCTGTTTCTCTTGGGACCGGACTCGAATTTTATAAAATTTTCTGCTTAACGTCCCCAGAGAAATAAGAAAATCAGCCGGAGCATTTAATTATATCAACAAAAGAGGGCGCCTAGTGTTTTTAAAAACACCCGAAGAGAAAAAAACGGATGTTAGCGTGGTCTTATCAAGACTGTTAAAAAGTAGAAAACCAAATGATCATTCCAGCCAAAGAAACTCAAGTATTAAAAGTAAACGAAAGTTCTTTTTTTCTAATGGTTAAGAAATGCAATACACTTGTTCGTTTCGGAAGGAAATTGTTTTTTTTTTAAAGAGAACTCTGTTCAAACATTGTTTGACTGTCGTTTACTTTAGAAACACAATTTGGCAGGTAAGTAAATTTTAAAAAATTGGTTGTTAACTTCTCAGCGCGACTTTATTTCCGGCTTCATTTCAGAATATCGTGCTTTAAAACGACGAAGAAAATTAAAATCAGTAGTTGATGCATTTCTAAAGGTCAATTGATGGAAAATTTGTTCATTAAATCAATAATGATACTTAAAAGTCGCTCTTTACTTGCTTCGCTCGGAATGCGAGAGTGTAGAAAAACCTCTTTACTCAGGTACAACTATCTATAGTAACTAGAGCTTCTCTTGTTAGATCCTAGATTCAGTTGTTTTTCACGAAAATTTAACCATACTGGGTTCGTACCAGTTGCCATGATTGGCGAAAAAAAATTATTACAGGTTATCAAAATGATCAAATCCTGTAAGAGTTCTTCCTCAAAATGTTTAAACAAATATAATGTAAGTTAATTAGTTTCAGTTGTATTATAGTGTAAAACCGGATGATTAACTTTTCAAACTCCAGAATCATTTTCGTACTTCTCGCTTCTAGATGCAATAAATTTCTATACAAAGTCAGTTCAGAGAATTTGGTCACACATAAGAGCATCAGCCCCTCTGGCTGATTAACAAGTTTCTTTATTCTCATCACCAGTTTTCCAAATAAAGTATGGTATTGTAAGGGGAATATAGGTTTCTATCATCTCTGGAATTTAAGTAAGTTAAGTACATCTAACGATAAAATAAATCGACTGAATCAGGCGAAATTTGCGAAGCAAAGACAATGGCGGACAATTGGCCACCTGCATTCCCTACCTGCATTTCGGTTTAAGAGCAAAGCCACCAGAAGCCTTGTGGGTAGCGGAACAGGTCACTTCGGATTCAAATCAGTCATGAAAAATAGTTTGCAAAAAACATAAATGGACTTTAAGTTTTCTACTGGACTCTAGCAAGAAATCTTTTAAGGTATGTACGCGAAGTACAGTCACAAATGTCTTTTTGGAGAGTTCATGATATTTTGAGGTAACTTTTAACTCTAATATTGGACCTGTGTCCCTTTCGACGAAATTTGAACCACACTATCATTGAGCCGATTATTTCGAATTTTCCGGTCGCGATTAATGGTTCGATTCAATCTCGTTGTGAAAATCAAGAGGTTTTCTTCGCTTCTATGGTCTATTAGTATCGTGTAATGCGTGTTAGCACTTCTTACTCAAGACTGAGCGGCAGTTCTGTTGCCGTGTTCTTGGAAGCGACACTTAGGTATAGGGATACACAACCCTTAACTTGTCTTAGCTCAGGAGTACAAACCAGCATGGGAATTCACTGTCAGAGTCAAGACTTAGCCAGGTAACTTGAATTTGATGCCGGTGACGTTCGATAACGTTGATCAAATCTCAACAACCCACAATACTTTGAGGGCGATTCTTAAATTGCCACCCTCACTCGAAAGACCTGACCACAAGATCCACTGTTATTCCCGGTTGCAAATTCATGATATTGTGTTGAGAGGTGATTTTTAAAACTTTCATATTGTTTAGGTATGTTTTTCTTTACAGAGGTATGCTTTACACTGCATGTTGCATTCCTGTACAAGGGTTTCTCTCAAGACGATTGCCGTTATGTCTTGTATGCACTGTTGCCATGGTTATTTTGGCAAGCTACTCAGGTAAGCGAATTGTCATTTAGCGAGCAGAGCGTCAATAATTGTGCAGAAACTTCATTCCTTACCTAGGAAACAGGACATAACGAAATATCATGATTGTAATATACATGATGCAAAAGATCTAAAGATTTTTACAACTGCCTACGGCCTTACATATTAAATAGTATTGAAAAATGCGTGGAAAATTCAAAACAAGTCCGTAAACAAAAAAAACTATGAAATCAGCCTTCTTGTTTCCCATTTTCTCGATTTTAGGTTTCTTTACGTACTGTGTAAAACATAACATCTCATTTATAATTGCAGTCAATTTGTAAGTGTATGCATTTGATTTAGCTATGTTTTTCACATGTGTGTAATTGAAGGTATATGAACGCACCTTTCAACTTCCAAGATCTGATTGCTAATCCTCCCCTTTAGCTGCTGCACATTTCCCTTTAAATTCGTTACAAGAATTTGTTAAAAGATCAAGATAACAACTTTTAGCTGATAACTTTGAGTATTCTCATTACCTGTTTACTGGATACTCTATGGATATTATAGGGAGAAGTTACGTACTGATCGCTTCTGTGGGTTATGGATTAATTAACGTGCGAGGCGTTCTGCGTTGGTTTAATATGAAACGACAGAGCACCATCTTAGAGTTACCTTAGATCGTATCGCAAAGAGAGCCTGTCAATTTTTTTTCTCCTTGTATGTCAGGTTACAGTTGCACAAGAAGTCTTAAATTAAACAAATCAAGCAGCCAACGAACTTTTAACAAAGCACCATCAAATGAAAGCCCTCGGATGGATAACGAAAGGCCGTGTTTGAAGGACGCCTTTAAAGATATTTTACTCGTCATTGCTTACAATTATCCACTCTATGACAGTATTCCTCATCTAGGGGCTCTTTACAGACCAGCTTTTCCTCATTTGTTATTCTGTGGACCTCCTCATAATACTACACGTACTGGAATTTTAATTGTCGATGTTTATAGAGGTATTTTAGGGTATGAGTGTCTTGGTAGGGCAATACGTGAACATCCGGGATACAAAGGATATTTTTACATAAACGATGACGTCATACTTAATTATTGGAATTTCCCAGATTTTGACAGGGAAAAAATTTGGGAATCTTCGTTCTCGTTTGGTTCTACGCCTATTTATGAGCCCGCGAACAGTAACTGGTACTGGTGGATATCTCCGTACGGCTTGAACAATTGCCGAAGAGCTTGCGAAGACGTGGCGAACATGAACTCGGGTCCGAAAAAACTCAACGTTAGATACCTTATAAACACTCTCTTCAAAAACAGTAATGGAACCTTACGGTGTTTCAGCGGTCGCTCGGATATTCTATACGTTCCTTACAAACACGCCAAAGCGTTTTCGATACTTTCTGAGACTTTTTACGAGAGGAAAGTTTTTCTTGAAATTGCCATTCCAACTATGATTCGTTTCCTGGAAAGAAGTGACAACATCGGTCGACTTCCTGGCTATTATATTCCAGGAGATGTACGCAAAGGTGATCCGCGAGTTACTGATAGCAGGTTTTTCTGGTTTGTCTACTTTCCGAAAAACAAGTTGTGGTTTATCCATCCTTTCAAACTGCACCAACATGAGCTTGATAGCAAGTTTAACATGGTCATGTTGAAATTCATTCTCTTAGAGAAAGTTAAATCACTTACGAACTGCAGGCCCTCAACGTTTTCTAGCAGAAAACCCAAATTGACTTGATTCTTTAATTGTTTTCTTTTTTAAAAATCAAATGCGATGTCATTTAATTTTACCTTGACGTCCCAGCTTCGATACGTTTCAACGCGAGCCTGGAAGATTGGGGAGAGTGCGTGAAGTTGAGGCTAGAGGTTGTCTTACTATAAAATTTACTTGATCTCCCTATAAGGCTCAGTAGCATTCTTATGATCCCCCTCCCTGGCGGTCGATTTTCTACTGTCCCTTTTACTCTGTTAGCGAAGAGTCATCCCTCTCAGGTCCCTACCCATGAAAACCATGTGAACCCCCCCTCCCCAAATGCCCCATCCCCTTCTCCCACCCCGGGCGACATATAATGACTGTTCCCTTGTAAACAAGCTGTTTTGATGAAACATCAACAACAACTAATCCGCCTGGTAGGAAGATCTGAAGAAGTAAAAAGACGCAAGTCCAAACTACCCAAACAAAACTTTGGTTTCTTTTTTTTGTGTTTTCTTCCTGGTAAAGTTACTGTTGTGCTAGAACCACTTAACCACAAGTAATAAATAAAGGCGATAAGTTTCTAAAGAAGCTGTGGTGCTTCGTCGGTGAGGTTTATTAAAGAATAACTTGGTTTTATTAGTTGAGTTGACGGTGCGAATTGGCCATCGACATGAAATCTTTTCTCCAAGAAAACCTTTGCTACTGATTGGTAAATTTTTGGGGAGACTGATGACACCAAAGGAGAATGAAACAACGCAATGACACTGCCGTCATAAATTCAGGTGCCCAGTCCAGTGTTTTCGTGGAGAATTCGTTTCTTTCAAGGCATGACGGAAAATCCTTTGAAACTTTTTATGTTTTAAAAATCAACCGCTAGACAGAAATAAAATAAAACTGATGAGTTTGGTCTCCGTCCGGGGCGATCTAATTACACTTTTCGTTTTTTCTTTTTTTTTTCTTTTATAGCCTGATAAATTTTCTAATTTGTAAAGATCTTCTACTTCATTTTCAATTGAGAATGATTGTGTTTATGGCCTATTGATACCGGATTTATCAAAAATCAGACAATCTCTTCGCATCAGTTGATACAAAATTTACTTATTGCGACTTTTCAGTGGTTTAGGCAATCAACGAGACAATGAAATAACCAAGATATCCAATTATTTCTTTTCCTCTATTTCCAAATTTATTTTTCACAACTGTTTCCAGAAATCACTTTTAGATAACTGAGGCCAGAAAAGATCACGTTGTACGGAAGAGCGTAAACACAACCAAGCACGTGCAGGCTATTGATAGCTCGCAGGTAAAGAAAACTGGAGGAAATGCATCACTGACGAAAGTTCTTCTTTTGATGTTTCTTCTGAGACCCCAGACCAAAAACAAGAAGCCAAGAGGACGTTTCACACAACAATTTTGTCAGCAGGATGGTTTTCCCCCAAACGTGGCTGTGATTCATTCTCTTTTAAACGCCATCGGTCTCTCTGGAAATTTCCTGGTAATAGCCACGGTCATCTTAGAGAAAAGACTACACGTGATCCAGCCTCGTAGTTTCAGACATCTTCTGCTTAATCCTTGTTAACTCTCCCCGGATAGCAAGCGCAGCGCAAGAAAGATGGCTGTTTGGCGAGACTATGCGTCACTTCACTCCTTTCTTTGGGAGATACTTATACTTAAATACCCTCCTTCATCTGATAGCTGTGTCTTATGAACGATACAAAGCCATCGTTAAATCACCTTTGACATACAATGGCAATATAACAAAGTGCAGAGTGCTTTTTATAGCGTTCGTCTGGCTGATAGGCGATACCTGACCTTTTTCCGTTGATCCGTTACTCAGTTGGGGAAAGTTAACTTACACATATAACCCTGAAGTGTTCGTATCAGCGAACATGGATGGTCTGTAAACAATACCACTTCCAAAATATTCATCAGTTTTTACGCCGTTATTTTTTTACTCTTGCCCTTTCTCGTTATCTTTTTTCTGAACCGATCAGTTTTGAAGACGGTTAACAATGTACACGCAAACGTAATTGCTGCGTTCCAGTTGGGAAGCTTTCAAGGTTCCGAAAACCAACTGAGTAATGCAGCAACTAAGCAGGGTTAACGAGCGGAAGGTGGCTGTTGATGTTGCCGTTATCATCACAGCTTTTCTTGTTTGTTATATTCCTTACTGCCGGGTTCACTGGTCTCTATCGTCTACACGTCAGGAGCAAAAATGTTCCAGCCGGGGCAGTAATGGTGGTAAACTGTATCTTTTTAGTGAGCACGCTGCATAATCCAATCATCTACTCCGTCCGTAAAAGGAATTTTCGAGCCGGAGTAAAATATGTCCGGCGGCGGATTTATGAAAAGTGTAGAGGCTTCTTGCATGACACAGACATTATCACTGACAACTTCAGATCTAATTTCATGTTCCGGGGTAAAGTCTTCACCGTGACAACAACCACTGCATCCACGTCAGAATATCAGAATAAAGAATTCAATGGCTGTGTGAAACTAACCGCTGTAAGATCCTACAGAAGTGATCTTTCCCCGATTGAAGAGGTCCCAGAACCCTAAGATCATATACAATAATGATAAAGAAAAAAAAAAACTGCGGTAAGGATTTCCTAGCAGGTGTTAGTTGTGTTTAAGACGAATTTATAGAATTTTAGGAAATTCTATTGATGTTCAGTTCTGAAATCGTTTTTGAAAAATCATTTCAAAGTCGAGATTTGCGTGAAGAACCTCGGCGAATGCAAAGAACTGGTATGACACAGCCTAAACTCGGGCAAACTCAACCATCGAATCTCTTTCATTGCGTGTATAAATCGCAAATTCCATTTCGTTTTTTCGACACCTTGGATAGAGTTTAGAGTAAATTGGCTTTCCATCGCCCAATGCAATAACAAATTTCACATTTTTCAAAATCACAATACAGAGCGGTTAAGTCCTTTCTTTCCGAAATGTTTACAATCTTTTTCTCTGCCATCGCGAAATACTTCTCACAAGCAAGATGTAGGTTTTTTTTTTTCATATCGTGGAAATATTAGTATTTTTATCATAGACTATACACAATTAGGTTGAAATATAATCCATGAACTCAAAACTATAAACTACGATCAGTCTTCCTTCGCATCGCAAAGAATTATGGGTGTGAAGCGCTGGAAAAGTGGGAGTTCCATCAATTTTATTTTTCACAAATTTTTTATTTTTTGGCTCGTACATCGATGAGGAATGTACCATGCATTCTGTTTATGGAGAAGGTGAATCGAGCGTTCATTTTGCGAGGCGACCTGAAATAAAAATTAATCATTCTTTCTTTGTTTTTGATAAATATTTAAAATTTATCTCGGCAAGACACAAAGTAACCCGAAATATTAAAATATTGTTTTGATTTCTACCACGTCCAGACATCACGAGTACAATTATTTATTACCTTACTCTCTAGCACGAACTCCTGATTAACCTAACTATGTGTTTAGTCTGATCTTATGAAGAATCATCACTAAATTGACGTAACTGTTGTGTGGAATTCTGTGGATGGATTATGGAAGTTTCGCCGTTTTTCCCGTCTAAACACTCAAAAATAGATCGCCTTTGATTTGCGATGACGAGATCGTAAAGCACCTGGCGCTGTTTTGTAGCCCTAACCTGGACGATACCCTTTCAACTTTCCATCAGCCCATTTTTCGGTTTCAGCAGAGACGCTTATAAAGAATTCATGCGCGAGTCGCCTCCAAACAAATCTTGCACGCTAGTTCAGGGCAAAGATTCACAACATTTACTGTCGGGTGGCACGGGTAAAAAAGACATTCTGCTTCATTTAGCTAATCCCTGGCGCTTTTTTACTTCCCAAGATAATTTACCCTGATAACTTAACTCTCTCTACGAGCCTTAATTTTGTTTGGTCCATAACTGACAACAAGGCATTCAACAACCAATCAAAAGAACAGGCCTCTGATATAGATGGCGATTTAATACGCTCACGACATCATGATCTTAAAATAGTCACTACATAGTGAGGTTTCTTCTGAGCGCGACAAAAATAGCGATTAAACCAACAAGAATTGCAACTTCGCCATCAACCGGACTCTAAAACATTTTTAAAATCTAGTTATAATTATTTTGCTATCAAATTATTTTCTTTTCTTCTCAAAAGACTTATTTTCTTTAGTAAGGAGTACACATCTCTCTGCATTTCTCCAGTGATACCACCGCACACCACGAGCAACGAAGGCTCACACTGCCTTTCAGCTAGCTGTGAGGGGTTTCCAAAAGTCTCTCGCGCTGATCTGAAGCAGCCTCGCGAGTTGACTTTCCTCGTGAGGAGGTAGGGTCAGTAACCACGGTAACCTGTGGATTGACAACGAAAATTGCAGAGTCAAATTAAATAACTTGGCAGAAACGCTTGGCTGCATCCTTAAGCAAGTGCACAATGAGAGTTTAATTATCCCAAACCCCGCCACACTGCCCCCCTCTCTCCTCCCCCCCCCAAAAAAAAAGAAGAAAAGAAAAAGGAAAGAGTGGTGACGTCAGAGCTGACGGACAGTTCCGAAACCATCCACCTTGAAAGGCGTTTACAAACAGCTTTGTTTTCGGTGGAGTATTATTCCGATTCAAAAGAAGGATATTGAGTTTTCCGCAGGTAAAGCTATTCGAAGTCGTGCACGAGCCATATCGCGCCTCGAAGCACAGAAAACACAAAAGAGAGAGTAGGATTGTGGGAAGTGCTCGGGTTGGGTTTTCAATTTCAAAGCAACTGTAGGGCGACTCGTTTTTCGTTTCGTTTTTTTGTTTCCGTTGAACGCATGCGCACTGAACACCCTTTTTGTGTGATTGCACGCAGTTAATCCTTCACATCCTAATCAGTATCAGTGCGCATATTCTCCATACTTTTCTACATACATTTCCTACTGTTATGACAAGGAGAATTTGTTTAACAGTCCAGGGCTCCTTTAGTAAGTGATCATTTCTTCAATTCTCATGACCTCAATATTTGATTCAGCAGTGATAATGTAAGGAGAAATTTGCTGATGATCATTTTCGGGTTGAGGGGTTCTTGCACATTTTTGAGTACAATTTCAACTTCAAGACTTGACGAGACTTTCACCAAATTATAGTATCCATTTTCCCGAGTAAAAGAAGGCTGTGAATAAAATGGCCTGAGCAGAATTGTAACTTTCAAGGGTGAGGTACAAAATCGAAACTCAGTCCCGATCACACAAATCAACACTTTTTTGCTAACGTAATTTTGGGTAAATTGTTTTCAATGATCTTATCAGGAAGTTGGTGCTGACGAAAATCAAATCTCCAAAACTTTTCTAAAGTCAATATCTTTATTTGAAAGACATTCTTCCAGTTCTGGTTAATTAATTTCCCAATGAAATTTTCATGCTTCTCAAAAAATTCAAGACTGCCTTAAATTCATTGCCAGAGCGACTCGAAACGTCCATGATAAAAAGTGATAAAAATGAAATCATCTACTTCCACCTTCATGCTTATGATTCATGATAGCAACCCTTGTAGTAAGTGAAGGTGATAATCGAGCAGTTTTCAATAGAAAGTCGTAAAACCAAAGAATAAACTTATCCCAACAGCAATATATAACAAAGGTTTGCGTCATCACTAGCAAATGAGGACTCAATGTAAAAACAGGCAATTTACCAAAAGCGCGGCAAAACGCAAAAATGCCAAAAGCGCGGGAAAACGCAAGAAATACCAAAAGCGCGGGAAAACGCAAGAAATACCAAAAGCGCGGGAAAACGCAGAAGACTGAGACACGATTGGTTTTCGTTTGGCGTCTGATTGGTTGAAAGAGTGACGCGAATTTTCTCGACCGATCACAGAACGAAGTAAAGCAAAACCGAAGCACTCCAGGATTACTTTCGATACTCAATTGAAACCTATTCCAATGTTTAAAGTTTCAAAAAATCAACACTTTTCTCTTGACAAAACGATTATCTATAAAAAAATTTTCGCAAAGAATATCAGCGTCTTCAATCATTGGAAGGCAACTTCAACAACCGGCATAGACACTAATGCGGATCGATGTTTCTATGATTTCTATAGATAGGGCGAGTAGCCTGTTTTGCCCTTGGTTATCCTATGGAAGATTTCTCGCGAAGGCTAGTTCCAGAAATCGAGTTCCAATAGGTTTCTGTGCACCGAACGGAACATTTGCATTTAGAGATATAATAGACTGTAATTCTTCCATGTTTGTTGTGAGGTTTCAACTTGGAGGCTGCCTTCAAAAGCCGAGTTGTCCATGGCAACTGTGTCGTCTGTACACAATGAAGACCTTCCACTCAGAGGCTGGATTTCTAGTCTTACCCTGGAGGTGCTGTTGCGGGCGCCATCTTCAAAACCCGAGCTCCTCATGTCATTTGTGTCGTCTGCACCACATGAAATTCCTCCACTCACAGGCTGGATGGCCTGTGATCGTTCTGGTCTTCTTCTGGAGATGCTGTTGCGAGGACATCTTCAAAACCCTTCTTTCTCACGTTATTTGTGTAGTCTGCACCACATAAAATTCCTCCAATCCGAGGCTGGATGGCCTGCGACCGTTCTGGTTTTATTCTGGAGGTGCTTTTGCGGAGGCTAGCTTTAAATCCCGAGTTTCTTATGCCATTTATGTCGTCTACGCCACATAAAATCCCTTCACTCAGAGGCTGAATGGTCTGTGATCGTTCTGGTCTTATTTTGGAGGTGCTGTTGCGGGGGTCACCTTCAAATTCCGAGGTTCTTATGCCATTTGTGTCGTTTGCACCACATGAAATTCCTCCAGTCAGAGGCTGGATGGCTCGTGCTGCTGCCGTGGAGGCATAGTAATGAAGACGGGTTTCAAATGTCAAATTGGTAACAACGGATGTGCTATCAGTGCCGAGCGAAAATCCCAATGCTCCTCCAATACGCCTCAACATATTCTTCAGCCTGTCCTAAATTCTCTCTTTCGGATGGAATAGATTATCGGGTTGCACACCGAACTTGCAGCGAATATGCATCTTGTGGTCAATATAGCTGCGGCTGGAACATTTTTATTATACAAACGGCTTACACTAAGAACCCAGCCGGGAAGGAAGCAGAACATAAACACGGCAATGATGATGGCAACATCCACAGCTGCTCTCTGCTCCCTACGCCTCTTGGGCATTCCCTGTGGCTGATTTGGGTCGGAGCCCTCGATGCTGCCCACCTGCAGGGCTAAAGCATTCCGCTGTAGGTTTCTCGCCGTCTTCCCAACTAACCCGTTCAGGAAGACGATGATTATCAAAGGAACAACCCCGAGGACTAGCAGGATAAGTGAAGTGATGATGTTTCACTCTAACATCAGTATGCATATTCTCCATACTGTTTTCTTTACATTTCCTTAGGTACTGACAAGGAGAATTTGTTTAACAATCAAAAAGTTCCTCACTCAGAAAATCATTTGCTTGCAAAAGAACAATTTGGGAAAGTGAACATACTTCCATACACCGAATAGGGGAAAGATAAAAACTGCAAATGGCAGTAACCAAATGAAAACTATTCCATAAAATCCGGGAACTAGTCATCGCGCCATTGTATGACATTGGTGACTTCACTATGGCGTTGTATCACTCGTACGATACAGCTATCAGATGAAGGGCTGTGTTGACGTAGAAATATCGCACAAGGTTTGGATGGATGCGATAAAATGTTTCGCCGTACAACCACTTCTTTTGTGTTGTGCTTAAAATGTAGAATGAGTTCACGAGAATCAAGCATAAGAAATGACACTGCAAGGCTCGCGAGTAAAACACGTCGCATGATGTGGAATCTTTCAAAAGCGGTCGTCACTATAACAAGTAGATTTCCAGGAAGACCAATGGCATTGATTAGGGCGTGGAAACCTGTAATTACTTCGTTAAAAATCATGTTTGAAAAGATACTCTTGACGTTTAACGGAGGATAAACTTTGTCTTATCTATGTCTTCTGGTATTGCGTGTATAAATTGCAGGTGTTCTTTCCTTTTTTCACCACCTTGGCAGAAGTGAGAGGAAATTGAAGTTTGATTGACGTTGCAGGACTACAATAATACCGAAATAGCCCTAACATTTTAGAGTCAAAATCAGACACAAAGAGGAAATTAAAGTTCAAATGACCAATAGCAGGTTTCCTCATTCTTTAGAAAGTAGATGGCTTCCACTTGAAATTTCGAAAGTATTTAAGATGTTCACAGCATTTTCCTATTTTTCTTTCGATAAAAACACCTCTAAGGAGCGAGACACGTATTAAATGAAGCTTTCCTTACGTTACAAGACTATAATGATATCGACACATTTTGGGGTCAAATTCAAGTATAAAGGCAACAACACTCTTAATCCTGGTTTTTCATTCAGCAATGTCGAAAGACCCTGGAATTCATTTCTGCCAGCCAAATAAACACTTTATTGTCTTTCGTTGGCATGTTCAAATCAAACTTTTCCTTCATGACTAAAAATAAGTATTCACGACTTTCTACACCTTTTCACAGACGTTTCCCACAACTCTCCTTCTACTATCTACAATAGTTAGTTTTTGCTGCAAATGAGGTTAAGAGAATACTTAGTATTTTTCCCAAAAACCTCCATCAAACACACTGATATATTGGCATCAAATGGTAAGCGTTTGGAAGAGGAAAAATTAAAACAACAGTGGTGGCGAAAATCAACTTGTATGACTTTTTGGGGCCAGTTTAAAATCGTCAGTGATGTTTAGGATTCCGCGCATTTATCCTGGCCGCCCCTAACAACGTCTTCATTCGTTTTAAAATGGTTGGCAGGAACTTACAAACACTTGCTTTGACTTTGATTAAAGAATGACTTGTTTTTACGAACTGTATTGATGTTAATTGGCCATCGTAGAGTTTTTGCAGCTGATGTTTCGAGCGTGAGCGTTAGTTTCTTTCGCTCTGACGAAGGGTTAACTAGCCAGTTTACATTATAACACAAATTGTAAGTTCGTGCAATCAAATTCAATTGCGTGAGCGTGCTTCAATTTCCCACTGTGCACGCTGATAACGTCAGCAAACAAATGGCTGCGCCTCGAGCAACTCTCACGCATCATTCGTCCTCTCTAAACTTCCTGCGTGCTTCAATTCTCGATGAACGCACGCTGACGCATAAACCAATTGTTAATTATCAACTCATTCAACCCCCAACCGACGCAGCAGCAAAGCTTCTTTAGAAACTCTTTCCCCTTGTATTCAATTCTTACTGAAAAGAACATTGATAGGAAAAGGCCTAAATTTCTTTGAGGAGCTTTACTTTTGTTTTTCCTCTTTTACTTATTAATGGAGTTTCAAAAAACTTCTCGACCATTTGACGCCGGTATTGATTTTTTTTTTAGAGTAGCTAAGATGCAACTTTTATCTGTTGCAAGAAATTCAATGATATGCTATCTCTCTGAGGATTTTACTAAGATTTCCTGCTTGGCATGTCTGGCTTTTGGTTAAATCTCATTTGTGGGCAATCCCATTCGAAGCCATCTGCAGCTCATTTGTGTTGTTCTATAATTAACAATGTAAAATTGCCTTTCCGTGGTGGAAACTAAAAAATATTATTTCGGTAAAGATTAAGATGGATTGCTAATGATGAAGCGGTAACGCTCGTGAAGAAACATTATCTTGTCTATATTCAACACAAAGGTTCGTCTAATCCTAAAAACTACCACCTCATAATCTGAGTGTTCACTCCTCCGCAGATGGCAAAACAGTTCTTTTGTTTTGTTTTGTTTTGTTTTTTTT